TCGAGAAATCCCGACAAGGCAACAACGAATGTCGTGATGTTGGTGATTCGAAATCTAGGGTTACTGTCGTTGGTAGTGGTAATTGGGGTAGTGTTGCTGCTAAACTCATTGCTTCGAATACCCTCAAGCTTCCTTCTTTCCACGGTAACGATCTTGATTCTGCAAATTTGGTTTTGTTGTCATTGTGATCTCTCAAATGCTGTTTGGTTTTACAGATTGTTGGAAAAATCCTGCATTTTTTTGATAACCCAGAAACGAAATTACCGTTTTTTGATGATTCCAATGGTTTTGATGATTCATCTCTTGTTTCAGATGAAGTGAAGATGTGGGTGTTTGAGGAGGTTCTACCAAATGGTGAGAAGCTCACTGATGTAATCAACAAGACCAATGTGAGGATCTTTGTTTCTTGATTGTTTTTTTTTGTTTTCGGATTATGCGTCGGTTTTTAAAGCTCTGTTCTTGGTTTATTGAGCAGGAAAATGTCAAGTATCTTCCTGGGATTAAGTTAGGAAGAAACGTTGTTGCGGATCCTGACCTTGAAAATGCAGGTCAATTATTCTCCTTTACATGGTTCAGTTAGATTGTTGAGATTTGATGGGTTTATTATACGGATGCAGTGAAGGAAGCAAACATGTTGGTTTTTGTTACGCCGCATCAGTTCATGGATGGTATATGCAAGAAACTAAGTGGAAAGATAACAACAGGTGAGGTTGAGGCTATATCTCTTGTTAAAGGAATGGAAGTGAAGAAAGAAGGTCCTCGTATGATCTCTAGTCTCATCTCTAACCAACTCGGTATCAATTGTTGTGTTCTTATGGGCGCAAACATTGCAAACGAGGTTGTTACATCGATTTTTTTTGTTTGTTTGTATTCTCTCCTTTACATGATCCACTCCCTTTTAGTGATTTCTAATTACACACATTGCTCTGACTAATACTGTAAATACAGATCGCTTTGGAGAAGTTTAGCGAAGCAACGGTTGGATATAGAGAGAGTAGAGAAATTGCTGACACATGGGTTCAGTTGTTTAGTACTTCGTATTTTATGGTCACGCCGGTAAGAAATTCTCGGTTGTGGAATGGCCAGAATTGTTGCCATCTAGGATTTTGCATAAAGCTTGGTTAGTAACGATACGGCTTGTGTTAAGAACAGGTCCATGATGTTGAAGGAGTAGAGTTGTGTGGGACCTTGAAGAATGTAGTGGCTATTGCAGCTGGTTTTGTTGACGGTTTGGAAATGGGTAATAATACAAAGGTAAGTTAAATGAAGTTGGTTGTTTCCTTTTAAGAGAGTTCCTATAGAGATCTCATGCTATTCACTGTCTCTAGGCTGCAATCATGAGGATTGGTTTAAGAGAGATGAAAGCGCTCTCGAAGCTTCTGTTTCCATCTGTTAAAGACAGTACTTTCTTCGAAAGTTGCGGTGTAGCAGACGTCATAACAACTTGCTGTAAGGACTGAACAAAACCCGAATGATATTTGCTTCTTTTTAATTGTCGAATGTAACATTAACTCCTTTCAATGACTATTGCAGTAGGAGGACGAAACCGAAGAGTTGCAGAAGCATTTGCCAAAAGCGGAGGAAAAAGGTTTAACCTTTGTTAATCAAATCGACCTCTGTTTCATTTCAACTGCATCTAGTTAGTGTTTTGATGGTTTTGTCTGTAAACTTCACAGGTCTTTTGATGAGCTTGAAGCAGTGATGCTACAAGGGCAAAAGCTACAGGTAGACAATTATATATATACAGAACATTGCTTAGTGATATCGCCTGAAAGAACGTATACTCTTAGTTACGTTTTCTTAGTTCCAACTCTGAAATTGGTTTCTCTGTATTTGATTGCTTATTAAAGGGTGTTTAGACGGCAAGAGAGGTCTACGAGGTACTGAACCATTGCGGATGGCTCGAGATGTTTCCTCTCTTTTCGACGGTTCACCAAATCTGTACAGATCGTCTTAAACCTGAAGCCATCGTCCATTACCGTGAGTACAAAGCCTGATTTGTATTATTCATCTGCAAAGATTAATCTGAGTTGGTAAATTAAATTTTGATGTAGAGGTTCACGTTTTTCTTCTCAAGCGTGTGTCTTTGTTTGTTTACTGGTGTGAGTGAAAACCTTCTCACTGGCTTAGAGGGTCTTGGTTATTCCAAGTTTTAGGCCCACTCTAAATTTAGTGGGCTTAATCAAAATATTTCAAGTTTTTTTTTGCTTGTGATTTTCAATCCGATTTTATCTAAATCCGGCAGCACACCTCTGCCGAGCGTGTCCCGACGGATTTCCGGCGGAAATAGACTGTCGTAATTTTCCGACGACTTTCCGACGGAATAACGACGGAAATCTGATTTTTCCGATGTCGGCAAAGTTTGATTGGTCAGCTCATACCGACGGAACTAATTCCGTCAGGAGAAGTCTGCGACAGAAGTTTACATGAGAAGTCTGAACAGAAATCTACATGAGAAGTCTGCAACAGAAGTCTACCTAAACAAAAAAAAAATATTATTTTTTTTCATAAAACAGTAAAAAGTTCTGTTTCATCGATCTTAGCGGAATCCGTTCCATTGGATTTCG